TGGTTTTAATGTTTCACTATGTATCAACGTTCTCATTATTTCCACTCTGGTTGTTCCTTTTCCCTTAATCTGGCTTCCCTATTCCCTTCAACCTTCTCCTCTTGGCTCTAGGGTAAATATTGACTATCTGGCTTCTATAGTTCATTATTTTTGAAAGGAGCACAATAGGCCTATGTGATACTATTTATTTCATGAGCCAATCTATCGCTTAGCTTAAAGGCAGCCTCCAGGAGTGGTTTCAGGGTCGAGTTTAGAGAGTACCTCAAGGCAGCAGACCTGGGGGCTCTACAAAACAATACATCTGGTCTTTATCATATTTGAAGAATTTGGGTTTGGGTCTGCCTTCTTCTTCCACTCTATCTGGGATCATCTGTTATGTCCCTGGTCAGAACAATGAGTGCTCGTAGCTAGTCACCATCTAGTTCTGGCCCCAGAACAGACGGGGATGTGGAGTGTGTGAGCTCTTGACTCACCTGGTGGAGTCGTTCCTGCTTCGAGTCTGTTTTCCTTTGTTCTCATTTGTTTCATGTGGGTAGAGCCCAAGCGTTGTATCTTAGATGGCCACTTACAAACGTTTAAGACCCTATTACTTCTAGATTGTAGATGGCCAGATGTTTTTGTTTAAGCAAAACCTCCTTTCTGCTTTTTCTTGAAGATTAGGAAAGGGGGAAGATGTTTAAAAAAAAAAAAAGGTCCAGGAAAATGTAAATGGCTTAGAAGAGAGTGTAAGATTCTTTGGTGCGAAGGACCCTGGTGGCACATTGATTACACATTATTCAACTGCTCACCAAAAGGTCCATGGTTTGAACCCACCAGCTTTGCTGTAGAAGCGAGACGTGGCAGTCTGCTTTGGGAAAGGTTACAGCAGGTCTGCCCTGTCCTCCAGGGTGGCTGCAAGTCTACAAGCCAGGGTCAGCTCGGCAACAGCAGGCTAGTTTCAAGGCAAGTCACCACCATGGAGGAAAGACTGCTATGCTTTTTCTGGGTCTCTCACCTGCACACTCACCTGGTGGCATCCTGCCCGCCTGCTGGAAGGTTTGAAGCATAGGCCGTGGGGCCCCTGCCTGCCCACTTGCCCGATGGCTCATGGGGAGAAAGCAGTGTGTTCTCAAAGAACCTGTGAAGAGAGCTCTGTCGGCGGAGCGCTAGGAAGCCCCCTCATCTTGGGGCCCACCCCCATCGCAAACAGTGGTAATATTTACCAAGTATTTCTGGGAAAATGAGTGCAAAGTGCAGGAAATGCAGTGCAAATTGCTAGAACGCAGTACATTAGCAACATAGGCTATTTAATGAACCTGGAAGAGACATATACATTTCAGAGAAATGTCAATTGCGGTAATGTAAACAAGAGGCTTCTTTCAATATTTCATTTTCCAAAGGACTTTATTTCAGTCTCTGGTTAGAACTAGAGCTGATAGTCTTGAGAGAGCTTTCGTTCTAAACATCCAAGAGGGGAGAATTGGGGGGCGGGGGGTGGGGGTGAAGGGGCACGACCGTTGCTGATGGAGCATAGCACCTCAAGGGGGACCAAGGGGTTCCGTTGAAGGGAAACGAAAACTTGAGTCAGATGTGTGTCTGTGAAAAGTCTTTTGATACAGACACGGATTCTTGAAAGAGGATGAAGGCTGCCCATGTGGGATGATGCCTTCCCAAGGTCAGTGCCCAGTCAGGCTTGCCCCCATTGCAAGCTACCAAGTGACTCCTTCTCTGTGTCACGAAGGATTATGGGTGGTGGGCAACCACCAACTTCTCCAGATGGCCCCCTGCGACTCCATTTCACCCAAGTCTTCACCAGTTCACTCTCTGTTCAAATGAGGGTGGAAAGCCCCTAGACAACTAACCCAGAAGACCCTCCCCGAGCATCCGCTTCATCAGGAGCAAGGACCTGGAACAAGGCATCCACCACCGCTCTTCTTTTCCCTCCCCAGTGCCCGACAGCATCATTTTGAAGATCCTGACCTACCGCCTGAACCTGGAGGATTGCATTCAGCGAGGGTGGGTGCTGCACGATTACCCAAGGGACCTGGACCAGGCTCAACTGCTGCAAAGTTTGAGTCACAAGCCCAATAGGTGAGTCTTGGTCCTTATCCTGCCACCTCCTGGGACGGTCTCTGTCATGGCAGGGGTGGGGTGGGGTGGGCTTCTGCATCTTAGCCCATGGGACCCATACTGGCCTGTGATCCTCCTGCAGTCAGCATCATTGCATGTGTTGTGTGAGTCTGAAGAGGAATTTACAGACTGGTATCAGACATATGGGACTCATGGACTTGATCCAGACTGGGCTGGGATGTTTTCTCAATATACAATTGCTCTTTTGTGTAAAACTCTTTCTCACACACGTATAAGTGTCTCTGGATTTGTTCCTCTAGTCAATCTGGACTCACACTCAATCAACTCAAAGGCAGTGGGTTTGGGTTTTGGTCTTTTGTCAGTCTTTCAGTAGTAATGAGATGAGATGTCAAAATGTTTCATGCATTCTCCATAGCTCAGATAGTTTTAATACTTATCAATATAAGTGTTTCTGGGCGCTGGCACTTTCGGGAAGAGATCGTCTATTAACAGTTTGATCTCAGTCACAGTATTTGGTGGATTTGAACTTCATTTCTTGTGCAAATGGTCTTTTTAGAGAAAACCAACCCTTTCAGTTGTGCATTTAAAGACTTTAGCAATTTTCAAATCTCTTCTGTTTCTGCTACTTCCTTTTTCTTGTGGCTAATCTTATGTTTTTGTGTTTTCTTCTTCTGGGGGGGGGGATTCATTTAACTAGTAGCTTGCCTTTCCTAAAGGAGCCCTGGTGACACAGTGGGTTAAGCACAGTGACAGTGTTAGTGGTTCAAACCTACCAATTGCTCCATGGGCGAAAGATGAGGCTGTCTACGCTCATAAAGTTTTATAGTTTTGGAAACGCTAAGGTTTCTGTCCTACAGGGTTGCTATGAATCGGAATTGACTTGGTGGCAATAGAACTGTCTTGTTTGTGTTGCTTATTGAGTTTTTCACCAATTCCCTGTTTTCCCCAAAATAAGACAGTGTCTTATATTAATTTTTGCTCCCCAAAATGCGCTAGGTCTTATTTTCAGGGGATATCTTATTTTTCCATGAAGAAGAATATGGTACACATTTATTGTTGAACGAAAAAAAAAGGAAATTTATTACCTGTATATGGTACGGTAGTAGTTGTCATCACAAACCAGCATAACCAGACAAACTGTGAATCCTACAGTATCAAGAATTTCTTGTTACCACCAACATTTCCATGTACAACAATCTATGGTAATTTACTCATTTATTCAATGACAGTCATGTCATCATCTTCTGGAACATCATCATAACAATCCAAACCCTTATTTTCGGGGAGGTCTTATTTTCGGGGGATGCCTTATATTTCAGCGAGAGGCAATACTGTAAGTAGGTCTTATTTTCGGGGGATGTCTTACTTTTGGGGAAACAGGGTAGTTATCTTGGATTTATTTTTCCTTCTACTTCTTTTCTTATAGTCTTCATGCATGCACCTCGGCTTCTCTTTATTACTGACCGCCTTGCTGGGCTTATTTGCTTCTTTTTTTCAAATTCTGAGTGAAAATGCATAATTCCCTTCTTTTATGTATTTCTTGTTCTATACTGAAAATGTTTAATCCTTTGACATATCTTCTCTTTACAAGCCTAGCCCTACCTCATATTTTTAAATATACCAGATCTTTATTATTTGCTCTTTCTAGACATGATGAATGCGATTTAGACGTTTAGAATGTATGTTTAAAGAGTCTCTTTCACCTGAGAAGTGTTTAGAAGTTTCCATTTCCAGGAGTTGATACTTTGTTGCTATTGCTTCAGCTTTCAATATTCTCATTTTAAGGCAAAGCACAGGTTTGAATTTAAGTATAACATCTATTTTTTTAATGCATAAGGTTTATTCTGTGAATAATTGTTTAAGTGTTCCATGGGTGTTTGAAAAAGATGTGTATTTTAAATTTAAGTTTAGAGATTTAAATTAATTAGGTCAAACTTAATTTCATCATTTAAACTCCACCCATATCCTTATCTTGTTTATTGTTGTTCTCTCTCTTTCTCCATCCACCACCCCTTTTTCAGTCTGTCAATTTGTTAAGGACAAGAGAGACTTGTCAAATTTCTCACTCCTACTGTATTCTATCGGTGTGTATGTGTGTGTGTGTGTTTTCTGAAGTTCTCACCACATGACTTCCAGTTTGCTAGTTTGTGCATTGAGGTTTGTGTCACCATGTATGCATTGAGAAATGTCCTCTCGATGAAAGTGCCTAGGTGTATCAGAACTTTCAAGTGTATCAGACTGTGTCTATCGGAGCTTCTCATTTGTCTACTCCAATGTTAATTTTACCTGTTCTACTTAGTAGTAAACATTCATTATCTTTTTTCTTTCTTTTTGGTCTCATTTATTCTATTGCTTGCTTCTTAAAATTTTTTTTTATTAATTCATCATTTTATTGGGAGCTCTTACAGATGGCCTAACTCCATAATTCAAATAGATCAAGAATACTTTTACAACTGCCACTGCAATCAGTTTCAAAACATTTACATTTTTCTGGAACTCTTTGATGTCAGCTCCCCTCTCCCCCTTCCCTTCCCCACCTTTCCCCCCAGGAACCCTTGTTGTTATTGTTATATATTATGATTAATATTCTTTATATCTAGATATATTTTCACCTACAATTCTGTTATTCGCTCCCCTCAAGTGGAATTATATAGCCATCATTGCAATCAGCTCCCTCTCCCTCCCCCACATCTTCCCGTATCCTTAGGGAATCATTGCTCCTGTTGCTGTTTCTGTAGGGCCATCCATCCCAGCATTCCTGCATCAAACGATCTTACTTATACTTCTGAACCTACGTAGGTCTAAAAGTATTAATGAGGTGAACATAAGCCTTAATAGTAAGGGGAAATATTAAAGAACCAGAGGATGGTTTTGAGTTTCATCAGTGGTGTACTGCAGCCTGAATTCCTCATCCCCCACACACAGCCCCTCTATGCAGGCCTGTCCAATTGTCTTGCAGGTGGGTTTTGGATCTCCACTTTGTCCAGTCTCCTTCACATCCATTAGATTGCTTGTTTTAGAACTTCTGATACCTATTCCATACCAACACCTCATGATCACAGAGGCTGATGTGCTTCTTCCATGTGGGCTTTGTTTCTTCCCTGTTCAACGGCCGCTTGTTTGACTACAAGCCTTTAAGATCCCACATGCTATATTTTTCAATAGCTAAGCACCATCAACTTTCTTCACTACATTTGCTTATGCACCCATTTTGTCTTCAACGATCATTTCAGGAAGGTGAGTATCATACTTTATTAGAACAAACCGTTCTTGAACTGAGGTGAGATTTTAGTAGAAGTCCAAACTCTATCAGCTTCTTTGTTGAATTTGCATATATGTACATGAATAGACAAATATATATATATGTTTGCTTTCTTCTTCTTTCCTCTTTTTCTTTTTCCTTTCCTCCTGCCCACGATTATGGTTCCCCTCTCAGTAATTCCTCTCAGACACTTTTCAATTGATCTAACCTGACCAGGAATGCTTCACCTTCCTCACTGTCAATTTTATAACTATTATTATTCCTTGTCCCTGTCATTATTGTCTCAACATTCCCCGCCACCTTCCTTCCCATGCCCCACCCACTGTGGTAGTTACATAATCTGGTGTCAATTTGGGACTTAAAATTAAGAGTGAAGGGGTGGAGTCTAGTCTGTTAATCGGAACATAGCAATGAGACCTCTGTGTGGGCATGGACTTCTCCTGAGAATTCTGGGAATTCCTGATTTTCCCCCTTGGAGACAGGAGACATTCTCTCTCTTTCTGCTCACTTCCTGTGAGACATCCCTGAGGAGAAGCCACATGGACCTACTCTGATGCAGCCCTGGGAACTGGAGAAAGCACGCTGAGACCCCTGCCAGTGCTGAGATGTTTACAATGCCACTGGATCTAAAGTCTTTCTACCCACTGGCCTCTGATCATCCTGCATTTGGTGTCACTGCATGTGTTTCATGAGTCTGAAGAGGACTTTATAGATTGGTATTGGACATATGGGCTAATATCGGACTTATGGGCTTGGACTGGATTGGTTGGGATGCTTTCTCAATGTGGATGAGTGTTTGAATTTGTTTCTCTAGTCTACCCAGACTAACACCCCCCCTCCAACCAACGGTCTCATCACTGTATCCATGGGGTTGCTTGTCCTGCCTGTCTCATATAGAAAGACAACCCCCTCCCACCAAAAAGAGAGAGAGAGAAAGACCATATAAATAGTTCCAAGTGTAACTGATGTCCTGACCCAGATTAAATGAATCTCTCTCTGCTAAATAGCAGGCAGGACCTGTTATAATACCTCAGCCCAATCCCCCCTTTTTTCAGGGCTCCATATCCTAGGACCGCTTACCTGACAGCATTTATACCCTTTTAGTCCTAAGCCTTTGTGTCTGATAGGTGCACACCTTGAGGGTCCCTATTGCTCTTCCTGCAGTCAGGGATGGGGTGGTATAGTGCCCCCCATTACACTTTTAGACTTTCAGTGTGGCCCCCTTGTGAGTAACCCCCAACCAGTGTGGGTGAGGTGCCAAGTGCTGCCCCCAGAGTCTGAAGTCTGCAATTGGGATTTCTCAGAGATTCCCAGACTTCACCCCCATCCATGGTCTGTTGCACTATCTTCATGGTTTGCCCCATGTGAGTGCACATCAGACCAGCTGCTCACCCAAAACTGTCTCCAGGCCCATCCTCTATAGCGCTGTCATCTAGCTGAGGCCAGCCCTGCAGTCATCTCTGGGAATGAGCTGCTCCAGGTAGGAACACCACCCTCAAGGATTGACACTGTAGAATGAGGTCTGCTCTTGGCCTCCCTTTCCTGTGAAGACATAAACAATACCCTCCCCCTGGGTGAATTAGTGACCTGTTCCCCCATTACTGTCTTTTTTCTTCCCCCAACCCTCTTTGTGCCTTAAAGGCATATGAGAAGGGGTAGAAAAGATGCCTTTCAGCACAGGTGCTATCTGCATCTATCTATCAAACAAATAAATATATATATATAAAAAAAAAAATTA